TGATCGCCGGGCTGCAACGTTGTAATTGTAAACCATCATCTGCCGTGAACCATTTTCCATCGGCGCCCATCGGCGAGGTAATATCTGTAAACTTAGGGTCAACATTGCTGTTTCCATTGGTGGTATAGCTGCCTCCTTGTACAATGCTATTGCTTACTGTTGCGGGTGCATTGTTAGAAAATAAAGCCGTTGCATTGTTCCATATAATACTGTTATACAAATGAGAGGTGCCATTAATTGCTGTTATGTTTTGTGTCTGTCCGGTGAACGTACAGTTTGTCGCGGTAAAAGTGCCGGTACCACTTATGGCTACCTGGTTGTTATGAAATACACAGTTGTTCAGCCTTACATTTCCGGACGCGCTATATACGGCGCCGCCGGCACTGCTGGCGCTGGCGTTATTATGGAAAATACAGTTATCGATAGCATTGTTTGCTGACGTGATGTAAATCGCATCGCCATAGTTAGATCGTGAAGCAAACCGTGAGCTGTTATTCCTGAAGATGCAATTAACCACTTTTGTCTGCGTATTAAGCATTGCCATGCCGCCGCCGGCATTGGTGGGGAGGTACTGACCATCGATATCTCCGCTGTTCATATCAGCAGCATACCCGTCTTCAATAATAAAACCGTCTAAGCTTGTCTGATCATTATCATTTGCCGAAACCACTACATGGTAGCAGTTGTCTGTATTAACCAGTGTATCCCCAATATTGCCGCTCAGGATAGTAGGGTTGTCAATAAAGCTACGACCCGAAGCATCTGTCTCGGTACCATTAAAGCCTCCCAGTAGCTTTACGCCGCTGACCAGTCCGAAAGACCACTTGCGGGCACCGGTACTATTATCATGACCTACCGGGTATTCAGACGGTTTATAGGTACCTGCTGCCACCCATATTTCATTGATATTGCTACAGGCATTTGCCAACGCCAGTGCCTTGTTCAGATTGTTCATCGGAAACGCCCAGCTACCGCCCAGGCTTGCCGGCGCAGCCGCATGGACGTACAATCGTCTGAATGCATTGCAGGCATCAAAAGGACCCTCATAGGCACCAATATCTACCGTGGTTTGCTGGATACGGTTGCTGCCCTTGATATCTGTCGCAACAGCCGCTACTTTTGTATTATCCCCGGTATTAAGAGTGGTACTTGTGTACGTCACCTGCAGGCCGTCATCGGCAGTTGCCCAAAGCATATCGGGGCCGATGGGGTCTGCTTCGTTTGCAAAAGAAGGATCTGTTGTGCCAAAGCTATTATGACTATGAGTGATCACGCCGATGCCGGCGGTATCGGGCAGGCCACTGCCCCCGTTTTTATAAAAGAGGTTGTTGTGCAGATGCAGCGTTGCCCGGTTGCTATATGCATAAGTTGCATAAATGGCGCCGCCGCCGTTTGCTGCTGAGTCTCCATAAAAAGTATTATTCAGCAAATGATAAA